CCAAGAACTCTCAAAACTCTCCCTTTTCCTCACCTAGAAAGCATACTGTTCCATGTAAATGTTAGTATTTAAAAGCTCATAGTCATTAAACCAAATAAATTTTACTTGTATTTGATTTCTTACTTTAAGTTAATAATAAGAGAGAAAATATGTTTTAGAATTAATTTTATCAAGGGTTCTATCAACTACATATATATCCATAGTAGATTCTGAAAAAAGAAAGCATGACCTCTCATCTCATAAAGCTGCCCTTTGAAACAGCATAGGTAAAGTTCTCTTGCTTTGACAAAAGTCTATCTTAAAAATTTCATTTGGGTTAATCAGAAAGCATTAATGATAATACGTCTGTAGTACACAGAGAAAATGTAGTTTTTTGCTGCTATTACAAGAAAGAAAGGAGCTGGGAGGAAAAAAGGACAGTGAGTATCAAACTTTAATTGGTAGACAATTGCCCTCCAATTTCTTTATATAGACAATAGCAAAATTCTACCAATATGGCAAATACTTTCAGACATATGTGGAATGTCTGAGAAATGTTTATAGGTAAACCACAGCTTTTTGAATAAGCAAAAAGCTAATGCCATTTATTTCTTTTAGACATATATTTATTGAGTACTTACTATGTTGCAGACACTGTGTTAGACGCTGTGAGTATACAAATAAATAATATATAGCGGGTAGGGCGTTCACCTTACAAGCGGCCAACATGGCCGACCCGAGTTCGATTCCTCCGCCCCTCTCGGAGAGCCCGGCAAGCTACCGAGAGTATTCGATATGCCAGACACAGTAACAACAAAGTCTCCAATGGAGACGTTACTGGGCCCGCTCGAGCAAATCGACGATCAACGGGAGGGCCTTTACCTATATAGATACTAGTTTTAATAAAATTGATTATAATGAGGATCTACAGTAGAAAAATATACTAGGCCACACAGAGGACTAAAGTATTTTAATGGCATTCAGAGAAAACCCCTTAGAGAAAGTGTGGGGTTTCTTCATAGGAAGACTAAACTGTTATTAGAGGGATTATGATATGGTTCTCACTGCATTTTAAATGGGACTGTATGGTAGGTGACGTATTGGTTTGTTTTTGTATCTGTTATTGGTTTATGGGTGGCCAGACCTGGTGGTGACCAGGGTTTAGTAATCTGGCTCTGAACTCAGGAATTACTCCTATGATTCTCTGGGGACCATATGGCAGGGGTGGGGGGTGTCAAACTCTAGTTGGGATCAACTCCAGTTGATTGCATACAAGGCAAAAACCTACCTGCTGTAATATTGCTCCAGCTATGAATTATCATACTTTTAAGGGAAGCAGAGTTTCAACAAACGTAGAGTAAGTGTTCAGGTGGCTTTAATTCCTCACATCTCTCTATACATACCAACGTATGCATGCCCTTTGCCTTGCAGCTTCTGGTTAATCTCACTAAAGAGGTAGAATCCGTTTTCCATACTTTAAATCTGGGTTGACTTTGTAGCTTGCTTTTATCTCAAAGAAAACAGGAAATGCCTCTCTTCCATTTCTGAGACCAGGACCACAGAAACTTGCACATTTTCAGGTGCTCCTCTGCCATTGCTATGAGAACATGCCTTGATAAGTCTCGTAAGGTTGAGAGACACGTGGAACAAAACAGATTCTCTTCACTCATGCCATCTCAGGTTCTCCCTATACTAGTCAAAAGCTGAACTACCAGCTAAAACAAGTCCTGTGTTTTCAAATTTATATCACTGTCTCCCGTTGTTCATCGATTTGCTCGAGCGGGCACCAGTAACGTCTCCATTGTGAGACTTGTTGTTACTGTGTTTGGCACATTGAATACATCACGGGGAGCTTACCAGGCGCTGCTGTGTGGGCGAGATACTCTTGGTATCTAAGAGGAAACCCCAAACCACAGAGCTGGGAATAGTTCCCAAGAACTACTAAAATAAAAATAGCCCAAAAATAAAACACGCAAAAAAATTAATAATTTCTATAGATGAATTAATGATAAAAATATCAAATCAATATTTATTTTATTAGAATAAAATCATTTCTCAACATTTGGGAAGGGTAAGTAAAGAAATATGGGAGTCCTTTGTACTACTTGGTACCTTGTTTTGTAAGTTGGAAATCATTTTGAGATCAAATTTTTAAGGCCCTGCCCAGTGATGCTTGGGAGACTGAGGTACTAGGGACTGAATTGAGGAATACCACATGCAAAGCTTGCACTCTGGCCCTTTGCACCATCTTCCTGGCCCCATAAATTTTTATATAAAATAATTAAGCCAAGGGTAAGGTGATCAAACCTGCATTTAAAAAAAAAAATTATCTTGCACAAATAATTTGTTGGCATGCCAGACACTATACTAGATACTGTAGGGATAGCAGTCAAGGTGGAAAAACACCTACACACTCTTATATGTAGCATAAATGTATAGGATAACTTCGGTCGGTACTAAATACTATGCAAAAAGTAGAACAGGGTAAGGCAGTAAAAATGGATTGGATGGGCTACTTACTCTTACAGACCAGAACAGGAATGCTTAGTTGATTCAGTGGTCAGTGAAGGAAAATAAAATGATTCTGGTTATATTTTTGCTGAAGGTAGGGCTAACTTAATTGTGCAGATGGATTGGACGCAAGAGGAGAGGGAAAGCAAAGAATCCAAGATAATGCTTTGTTTTTTTGTGCACTTCTGGGTCTATTTTGGTAACAATTACCAAGAAAGAATAGTGGAGTGTATTTTTTGGTGAAAAATAAACAAGAATTCTGTTCTGGATACTTTTATTATTTAAGGTTTTTCATTGATTATATTGTGTATATAACTGTACACATATACAAACATATATATATTGTCTATGCAAATATATTGTTGGGGGAATTAAGTAAGCTTAGGAACATTAAAAATGTTTGGCCAACAGTATTTCAGCTATTCTTGTGAAAACAGTGGACATGTCTTTCCTGCAAAGGTTACTGAGATGAGATCAAGATATAAGACAAATGATTCTATCTTTAAAAATTACAGGACTCACTAAGAAAAGCAATGGATTAAAATTGACACTGAGATAGAACAATGACAGATGCCCATGGATGAACTTTTTTTTACAATCGTTATCAACCAGATAAATACATTTTCAAGAGAAAACAAATAAAGACATGAAAATGTCCTCTAGGTTTGGGAAAGAGAACCCTGAGTATGTGTATGGGAAGAAGAAATGTGGATGTTTCTTCTTTTTCATTTTCGGAAGGTACTGGCACAGGGAAACTGGAGTTCCTGGGAGACTGCTGTCTGAGGGACTCAGCAGGCCTGAGGGATCTCTATCACCAGAATTCTGATCCTGTTTCCACCACATGCTGCTGGAATAACTTGATTTGGTTTTCTTACCTCTGTAGGCCTCAGCTATCCCATCTACAGACAATATGTGTCAGGTGCTGCCATGCAGGCACTCTACCTGTTTCTAGGTTCCCTTTTCTCAGCTGCTAAATGTTATGAAGATAACCATCAGCTGTCAGTCATCTTTGTGAATGCATGGCTAAAGAAATTCTCTTCCAAGATTATGCATCCTTGAAGGGGCAGCCCATATTCCATAACTGGTCAATAAGAGGCACAATATCCTGACTCTTAATCCTACTCAGAACAGCGGGAAGGGTCTACTCTGTTATGAAACTTCATAGTTGGTCAGTCATGACCTTAGAGTTTTAGCTTTGAAATCTCGGCCTACTCCTCATTAAAATCTTTCATCTTCCTTCTTCGTGAATTGATCTCAAGACCATCCCTAAGAAATTTCCTATGATAGGGATCCCAAATTTCATCACAAAGGTATCCTTCACCTAGGGAGATCCTCAGGATTAAAGAAGTCACTACATATAGCTCTCAAGAGTTGAGACCAAGAATTAGTGTACAAACAAGTAAAATAAAAGCATCCACTGTTATTAGTGTCAGATGTGTAAGATGATCAATTATAGCAATAGTCTTTGCCCTTTATCATTGAAATACTGTAGTAGTTTGAGTTGTTTTTCTATGAGTTTTTCATTCAAGTAAAGTTAACTGGCTTATTTTAGGTGATGAGAAGGGAAAAAACGGTTTTTATGGTCTATTTACTGCTATTGAAATTTACACATTCTTAATTTTCAGGGGACCATCTCCATGTTTGCAAACCTACTACAAACACCTAAGTTTGCAAACATCTGTGTATCAGGTTTGTTTTGGTTGTTGTTTTGCTTAGCTTTTTGAAGAAAATAGGTATACAAATAATATTTATTAGACTGGAGTTACATACATATTTTGATTTTAAAAACTTCATGATAGAATTCATATTTGTGGAATTTTCTGAGTTGAGAGGAAGCAAGTGTCCTGAGATTAGTTCTTTTATTTAGACAAAATTCTTAAAAGCACAGGGTTGTATATTAAGTTCATTTTATTATTGCGTATATTTTTATGGTTCCTACATACTTTACCCTAATGAACTAAAATAAAGACTAAAATTTTCCTACAAAATTGAAGGCTCTAAAAATAACAACAAACAACAGAGGGCTCCTGCTTAAAGCAATGAATACAATAGCACATAAATTTAAATTTGAAAAATGACAATCCGGCCACCCCCAGCCCCCCCGCCCCAAATTATATTATACAATAGACCACAATCTGACACATTGGGCGAAAGGATTGGTTGATAAGAAATTATCTTTATTTTGTGAATAAATAAAACTGGTCTTTGTTAATCTATAATTCTTCAAAGGACACTTGTGTTTTTTGGTTAAAGCCACATATACAACATGAGACCATGCTCTTCATTTTTGCGATTGGAAAACTGAAAAGCTTGTGATTCTGTCCTTCCATATTTGCGTAATACGATTATCCCTTGACACAAAATCTTCACATCTTGAACACTTTTGGAAATAACCAAAGAAACTGTGGTTCCTTTCCTGTTTCGTGGAAGTTCTCTTTGCTTCTCACTAGCCTTTTATTCCATTGGAAGACTTTGGTTCAGATGATGGGGTAAGACACCACCAAGGACCATCAGTGTACCCAGTTCTCACTCCAGTGGGCACCGCGACCTTTAGCCACAAGCTGAATGAACTTCAAGTGGCTGGCATAAAGTTCAAGTTTTTCATTAATGTCCACCCATTTCACTTTCTGGGCATCATCACCAGCTTGCAGAGGAAGATGGTCCAGGATTTTCCCCGCTTCGTCGTGGTAGTTTACAGCCTCTGTCTCTATCCATGCATTATCTGTGTTCCGAGGATCGTCCACGTAGCCTCTATAGACTACGAAGTGCTCCTGGCTGAAGAGCTTGTGCAGTTGTTTATTCAACTCCTCCTTTTCTGCTCCGGATTTCTGCAGAGAGTTCAGGGCTTCCTCCCCAAATTCTCTCCTCAAGGTGGAACTAATCTTCTCTCCAGGATCCACCATGCCCCCCGGAATTGCCCAGGCCCCACAGTCCTTCCTTTGGATGGCTACGAATTGCAAGATGCGTCTCCCGGACTCAGGGTGAGTAGTCTCATTCCCCCTGCTGTCCTTCTTCCACCTGGTTATGATGGGGTCTGCGGCATGATTGGGACCCCAGCGCCCCAGTAGCCCGCGACCGACCATTCCTGTCCGTCCTGCGGGATTTCTGGGTTTACCGTCTTCGATCTGGTATAAGCCGTTCTGACTTCTTCTCTCGACAGGCCCATCCTTTTCATTGAATTTCGGAGAGAAATTGCTTGTACCCACTGGGGGGTCTGCCCAGCTGGGCCCAGCCATGACAGAGTGGGCAGTGTACTGGACAGGGGTGTACTCTGGCCACTCAACCTGCCAGCTCACTTTCTCATCTGGCACCGGGCTGCGCTCCACTCTCGAACCCGGGTACGGAGAAGCCCGGGCTTTCACATGGGGGTCCTCTGCAGCCCTACTTGAATCTGACATCCTGATGTTTAGAGTAAGCCCCCGAGAGAGAAACAGGGTCCAACTGGCTGCTAAGTTGGGACAGCTTCTTTTCACAGTTTTACCTTCAGCACGCCCAGGGGTATATCACTCACAGAAGCCAAGGTCATGGAAAGAGAAACTTTCAAGAAAGTCCTTGCGAGATATTCAGCATCCAGGAGGATGTTTCTGGTCCCTTTCAGGAGCGAGTACACGTCCAACTGTACTGTTGGTGCTCGCGGATGCGTCACAATCTTCCTCGCGCCCCTTCTCTGCGCTAAGTGCAGGAGTTATTCTTCAAATGTCCTCCTTATCCCCAAACGCTCTCGGGCTAAGGTTCAAGAACACTGTCTAACCAAATTAGCTTACACTACCCACCAAAGCGCTTTCTTGCTTACTGGTGGACTGACCATTAGGTGAAGATTCAATTCACTAGATCTAGGACAGTTGTTTGAAGGCAAAATTAATGTGTTGGAGGAGATCCCTCATTTGGGATAAGGACCACAGCCTTTAAGGCTAAGGCATAGTCACTTCATGCCCTTATCAAAGGTACTGAGGAGAAATCCATGTGGAAGAGGTCAAATGGTGGCTAGAGCAAGTTGCCATTTGGCTAGTGAGAGAGGAACATAATATTGATTTAATCTTTCTTTTCACAGTTTTACCTTCAGCACGCCCAGGGGTATATCACTCACAGACCTGGACCCAGTGGCTTCTACTTTTCAAAGATTCTTCTTAGGGCACACCATAAAGAAATAGAACTAACACTGGCAGGGAGGGCAGTGTTGTTCAATTTTTAAGAGTTAAGTCCCTCCCCAGACTCCCGTCCATAACTGGGATCTTCTTGAACAATGTGACTTAAGCTCATTTTGGTTTCCTCATGTGTAAAATAGAAATAATATCTAGACTTCATGTAAAGCTGCTAACCCAATGTCAGGCTCCTTTCAAAACCACCAGTTGTCATTAGTACAATTACCATTAATTTTCTTGACCCTACACTTTGTATAAAGGAGAACAAGGCAGTTGAAATTACTATAGGAACTGAGCTTGTGCCAATTTACATATGAGGTCAGAGTTGACTTAGAACTTTTCAAGAAAATTCCTCTGCCTTTATCATGGTAAGATTTAGGATCTATGACAATCTCATTATTGGAAGGTCAAGGTCGATTTTTGCCATGAATGAAAAATAGCAGATGTTCAAATATAAATAAGATGCTTGGGGGAAACAGATACTTGAGGATGGCATGGGTGTGTAGAGTATAATGAGGGAAAGGAGGTTGTGTAGAGTATAATGCAAAAAAATCCTCCACTTACTAGGAGAGAAACGTGACACCAGGAAAGGAACTTCAAACACAGTAATGAAGGCTTTTGTTTCACTTTTAGCATCATCAAAAAGAAGAAGACAGTTAAATCAGACTATTTGATGATCATGTTGCAAAGGGTTCCATAAGGAAAGTGGAGCATATATTTTTCATTTAAACTTGAATTTTAAAGTAGCACTGTCCTCCCATTTTTCATCGATTTGCTCGAGCGGGTCCAGTAACGTCTCCATCGTGAGACTTGTTGTTACTGTGTTTGGCATATCAAACATCGAATTCGCCACTGGGAGTTCTGCTGTGCAGGTGAAGTACTCTCGCTTGCCGGGCTCTCCGAGAGAGGCAGAGGAATCGAACCCGGCTTGGCCAGGCCAGCAGCACGCAAGGCAAACGCTCACCGCTGTGCTATTGCTCCAGCCCTCCGTAAGGAAAGGAAACAAAATACTATACTTGAGACCAAAAGAATTATTTTCTGGGAAGACACTGGTAAGATTTTCTTTCTTGAATTGTTTTCTGAGACAGGAAAACAGAGATAGACACAGAAAATGCTTCAGTTCTGTCCTTGAAAAAGTCCCAAAAAAACCCTAATCAAAACAAACAAACAAACACTGAGGACAATCAGAGAACAAAGCTTTGGCCTGTCACTGGGAAACATTCTTTGTAATTACTGTTTTATTAAGGATATTATGGAAAACAAAGAAGGTGTGACAAGGGCCAGCCAGGGGGATTATAGGGCATAAGCAGTGTAAGAACCCTGACCATTCTACCTGTCTGTCTTTGGGAAGTAAAATTAAGTTGTAACCGGTAAAACAAATTTTTATGAATTATTCAACTTTTCATAAAGTGACATGAAGACTCCTCTTCTGAAAGAAATCTGGAAATAAAACAGAGAAAAAACTTTTCTTTTATATTGAGGTTCTAATGTTGTCAGTAAATAACTACTATGTTAAAGTCTGTGGCATACATGTTTGAGGGGTTTGAATTTCCCCATTTTGAATCTCAGTTCAATGCAGGTTGATCTTAGGAAAATATCTTAAATGCCCTAGAACTTAGTTGTCCCATCTAATAATAATTCTAGGGGCAATATGAAGTATTCATTTGAGGGGCTTAGTTAGAATAGTGCCATGTAATTCTCAAATACTCCTATGAGTCAGAAACATATATTTTAATCTCACAGGGGCCAAAAGATGTTGATAATAGCCAGAAATGGGAAATTGCCAAGGATGGGGACTTGGTAATAGGGAGTTCATTTTTTGGTGCCTTGGCGAAGTGCTCCTCTGTAGGTGATGAATGTTCTGGGAACTAGAGATTCTGCCACTAACATCTCTGTGCTTCAGAATCCTCTGATATAAAATGAAGAGTTGATGTAGAATCAATCCTTTGAGTTCCTTCCAGTTTCCTAGAGGAAGTATACAAGAAATTCCGAAGTTGAAGAAAGAGCTAAGATGTTGAAGAGTGAGTGATCGGAGTGAGTGATTGTGACCACAAGCTTGCTTTGGAAGTAAAGGAGAAAACTAGGACAAAAAGATGACATTTTTAGAAGCTTCCTCCCATAAATGTTTGAGGGCTCTGGGGACACCCTTAGCAATGCTCCTTCTAATAATTTTGTTGCTTTATCCAGCAACACTGTGCTATGCAGGCCAGAAAAACTGTGGTCTATCAGGGTTGCACCTTGAAGTTCTGGGGTTGGGGAGACATGTGGGGCCAGGTATTGAACCTAAGTTTTGTGCTTGCATTCCAGACTAAAGGCATCTCCATGGATCTGATTTTTTTAAGTGAAGAAATCTGTACCTTTAAAGAAATGACCTAAGCAGAAAATTAATACAGCCATATGGAGAATGAAGGCCATCTACACATTAACTTAAGAAATCTAAAGTAAAATGTGTAACAATGCAAGTCAAATAGCCTTTATTTATAGGAGAGATAAGCCTCAGTTTGTATGGTGTGAAGTGAAGGTGTTAGGAAAGTCCAGCTGCCCCAAAAATGTCTTCCTGGCCCTCTTAAAATACTGCCTTAGTTTACACCATGAAAATAAACCCCTTTGAATGTACTTGGTGTTCTGAAATGCACATTTATTTCCCATTCATCTGTTGTCAAGCTTTCTGGTGAATTCCTGTAACAGACTGACAACTATCTAAGAACAGTCAACTGTCAAGATGGGAAGGGGGAGGAGGAGGGATCTTTTTGGTATGTGTGGTATTGCTCAACATGTGAGTGCCTGTTAGGGCCCAGATACTGAGCTCAGTTCTCGAGACCAAAAGGTTAAACAAAAAATTGTGTTCATTGCCTCAAGATGGGGTGTGGATGCACAAAGATTCTGAGACTGCATAAAATATGGGCTTCAGGAAGAAAAGTGGAGGACAAAGATTCTCTTCCGTCATTCATTTTACTGGTGCTCAATGAAAGATGTTCCCTGGCTCCAGTAAATTCCCCTGAGAACTAATAAAATTGAAAGTTGGTAGATTTGGCACTCTGTAGGCTATGGATTGACATAATTAAAATCCCTTTAATTTGATTATTGTGGGCCCTTTGAAATTTTAATTGGTAAAATTTGACTATCCGAGAATTTGTAAGCAATGTTGTTAACTGTATTACAAGTCCATTGTTCATTTTTCATGTGCCTATCTTCCCCGAGTACTTCAATGGAGTGCTGAGACTGGTGGCAGAGAAGACAGTGAGAAATAGAGAGGAATGGGAGCTAAAAAACTACCAGACAACTTCTGTAAGCAGGCCAGAGAAATACCATATTTTCATAGGTGACACTGAAAAAACACCCTAATAATAGAAATAAAAGTTATAGTAATAGAAAAAATACTTGTGGGCTTGGAGAGATATAGTATAGTGGGTAGAGTACTTGCCTGGGTTTGATCCCTGGCATCCCATATGGTCCCCCAAGCACCACCAGAAGTGATTTCTGAGAGCAGAGCCAGGAGTAAGCCTTGAGCATTGCCCAAGCTTAAAGACTGACTAGGCTCTATGCTAAATATTTTACATATGAAAGTATTTAATTGTCACTAAACCCCACCAAGGTATATTTTTACTGTTCACCTATTTTACAGATGAGATCAAGGTCATATAACCTATAATTCTACAGTTTTTCAAAGTTGGGATAGGAATTCAGGTCATACCCATGTTTAACTAGCATAAAACTTCAGTGATCTATGCATCAGTCCTCTAACTCAGACATGTGAAGTCAGACAATGTATATGCTTTTTTAGGGATAGGAATTTTAAGATATCATTATTCTAGTTATATAATTACTCCTATTCTTGATATACTTAGGATTAAGCTGTTTTTGAGCAGTCTATCTTGGAAAACAGATCTAAAGATAAATTTCTGAAATATGGTCTCATTTTCTAGTTGTTCTTTGTGTTCCAGCAAATTTGGACCATATTACTATTCACTGTCCCACCAAGAATGACCTTCTTCAATCTTTGTTGAAATTCTACCCATTCTTCAAAGGTCATCTCAAATGCCATCTTCTCCAAATAATTATCTTCAATCATCAAAGATTTTAAGTGGAAATGTGCAAGACTACTCGGGATTGGGATTTGGGAGAAAGATATGTGTTAATAAAAAGGAAAAAATAATGCAAAGATGAAAGAAAGGCTCTTAGACATGAAGAGAACTTTCATGTTAATTTTGTTGTTACCTACATCAGCAAAAGTTTCTCTGTGGTTCTTTAGGATT